ATGGATGGATGGATGGATGGATGGATGGATGGATGGATGGATGGATGCATTTTAACAACTGATCTGTGTCTTTTGGTATAGATCCAGATCACAATCAGACATTTGATGCCTTTTTTTTTAGAATATTCTAATGTAAATTGTATGTATTTATATGTATTTCAAAATATCTAAACTGTGTATTTGTATTATAATATATTTTTCCTGCTCTGCTGTGGACAGTAGCGACACTGTCCACTAATTATTTATTTCTCATTTTCATAATCACGCATGCTTCAGATTCATATCCAAACGGGCAGGAAACGAGAGTGGTGATGGCAGCTGCAGGTGTTTGGAAATAAATCCAACAATGGGTCTGATGAATGGCGCTGCATGACCCCAGCCTTGTCTCTCTGAGTGGGTCTCAGCTGACTTCCTCTGTGGCTCTCAGCCACAGGACGCGCACACCCCTCAGCGTGTGCACGTACTATACCTGCTGCTGAGCTGTGTGAACATCACGCACCACAAGAGGCGTCGTCACTGACAGAAGCATGGAGAGGTTGAGCGAGCAGGGGATTCGCCTGAGTTCCGTAAGTTTACGCACATCTTATAATCACTTTATTAGCTTTAACCGGGTGGCGGGGGGTGATAATACCTAAATGCGTTCATGGGGAGTGAGAAGACTCACATTGCTTATTGTTTGGACCTTCCCAGATGAGCCCTTCCTTTCTGAACAGCAACTCCACCAGTCACACCTGGACGTTCAGCGCCGTGGCGGAGCTCATAGGTGAGAGGAAACCATTTGGACACCGTGCGCCTTTTCTGTTCTTGTGCTGGTGGTTTTGGTTCGGTTCGCTCTTCCGCCGTCACACAGCCTGCTGCGAGTCTGAACTCTTGACTTGGAGTTAAAATGGACTTCCTCCTCCACCGCCGCTTGTCTAAAGTGAAACTGCGTCTGTTTGTGTGTCTGCGCTGCGCGGCGAGCGCGTCTGCGCAATTAACGCGTCCTTTGTTGAGTTGTTTCAAGTCCTGATGGTTTTAGACATTTCCACGCACTTCCTTACTGAGTAGCACTTGCAGTTCTTCCGAACCTCAGGATTAAATGATGCGTTATAAATTCTGGTCGGTGTTGTTCCTCCACTCTGTGCGCTCCTATTGGTGCAGACGTGAGCGCCTGTAGTTGGCTGTTGGCTTAAAAAATACAGGAACTGCAAAAGAACTTTGGTTCATTTACCACTGTGCTCCACGTGCTCAGTTGAAGGCTGGGAGAAGTTGACACGACTTTATTCATTTGGCGCTTTAAAAAATAGAAACAATGACGAAATCCTAACTCTCTATCAAGGATGTGAACATCTTCATCCCTGAATGAGTGACCGCTGGCCTTACAGAAGAGCAACACCATCAGGCCAAGACTCTGTGGTTGACACTCATCTGCAGGGCAGCGTCACTCTTTCAGGGATGAAGATGTTCACATCCTTGATAGAGAGGAACGCCAAACGGCTGTCCCAGGCAGTGCACATGCACATTAATTAGATGAATGTACAAAATTCACATCGCCAACTAATGACTTGGCATGGCAACTGTGTGTGTGTGTGGGTGGGGGGGGGGGGGGGGGTTCCTGCAGTTACATGTAAACAACAAATGCAGCCGTGTCAACGCAGTTTTTTTTTCCTCAAATCAACATCTGAAAACACCTACGTTTCCCCCGCCAATAAACTCTCAGTCTTGAGGTTTTTAGCACCTTCTCATTGTGGATCAACCAGTTTGCTGGAGATATCCAGAACTGTTCACATGTAAAAGGATGACCATTAGCCTAACAGTTGGTCGTACTGGTCATATTGGCTGAGTACTCAGCCCTCTATGAATAACAGATGTGGCCATCAGTGCACCAAATTGTTAGATTAATAGCCCTCCTTCATGGTTCTGGATGTCACCAGGAAACTGGTTGATACACTTTGTGAAGGTGTTGCTTATAAGACTGTTTGTTGCAGCACCCCATCTTTTGGATAAAACATGAACCATTTCAACAAAGAAGAATCCATCCAGAGGACCTGACTTAATTTGTTAGATATGATTTTAATGGTTACGCTGCTCTGCCTTTTCAATACCTGCAAATGATCATGTGGTTACAGTACTGAGCCTTTGGAGGATGGAAAGCCAAAGCCTTCAGTAGTTGGGACCTAAATGTTTTAATGGAAAAGATTTTTAAAATCTAAATTCATGATATTCCAGACAACGCAGCAGATCCCGGCGTGTCTGCCAAACAGATCTGGATCGATGTAGTCAACGAAGCAGACCAGCTTTGTCTGACTTTTACTGATAATGGCAGTGGCATGACCCCCAGAAAACTGCACAAGATGCTCAGGTGAGCCACAAGCATGTAAACAGGAAGTTTACACAAAACACACTCAGTACAATATGCCGAGGCTGAAATCTGGCAACTCGTTATGCCTTCACGTTCTTCTAAACGTCAAGCACTCGTGTATCTAGAAGCCACATAAACTTCTATATTTTCTCCACTTTTTATCTTTGTTTTTCAGCTTTGGCTTTACAGAAAAGGGCACGGGGAAAGCCAGTCATCAGGCCATCGGCTTGTACGGAAATGGCTTCAAGTCTGGCTCCATGCGCCTCGGCCGTGACGCGCTCATCTTTACTAAAAATGGCGGCTGTCAGACGGTGGGAATGCTGTCCCAGACCTATCTGCAAAACATCAAGGCCCAGGCTGTCATTGTTCCCATAGTGCCCTTCAACCAGCAAACCAATATCCTTTTTAATCAGCTAAGACAAAAAAAACTTGTTATTGGAACATAAGACTCACTGCATGCTTTTGTTTATATATGTTTTTTGGCATCCATTTGTTTTTTATAACATCTTAGTGGTTGGGTTATCATGACAATAATTAATCTGATTCACCTAAATGCAAATGAGGTCAAGGAGATGACAGACTGCGTACACTTCAGGTGCAAACTGTGAATAGATCGTGTGTCCTCGTTTGTTCAGACCTTAATTCAGCGTCACAGTCGTTGGTTGTGACGGAGGATTCTGGAGCCAGCCTGGCAGCCATCCTCCAACACTCCATCATCAACTCCCAGGAGCAACTATTTGCTCATTTTGACTCCATTCCTGCCAAAAAAGGCACCAAGATACTGATATGGAACATCCGCAGGTCAGAAAGTTGCTTTAGCCTTTTAGTTTTAAATGGTTAAATGATCACTTAAGAGTTATTTTCATTTATTTTGTAACGCAACACACATTCAAATCAAACATGCCTCTGTGTTTAATGAACAGCTTGTGAAGGTTATTTTCTCTCCTGCAGATTTCTAGAAATAAAAAGTGGTTTAGAGTCAAATTTGTTCACGTTTCTCATATAGTTTTTTCACTTCCTCTTTATACTTTTGACTAAAAATAGCTGCGACCATAATCGCTCTGTACAACTCACTGCATGTTGCCCGTACTGGTCCACATTGCATTTATGTGACGTTTTGAATAAAATCCAATTTATATGATACTAGAATGATTTGATTTAACTAGTATTAAACCTTTACATAAAGTTTGATTATTTGACTGATTTATATTCCCTCACAGTAAATTTGCAACAGAGAAACACATTCTCCTGCACACTTGCATGCCAAAGTTTTAAACAATGATTTCACATGACCTATCAGCACTCTGAGTATGTCATGGGGATGACACTTAGCTACTACTGCACCAAACTAGAACTCAATAACTGTAAACTTGTCTAGGTTATACAGGCTCTTTTTGTTTTTAATGGTTGATTAACTGTAACAACCATCATGTAATGTATTGACTTCTAAACTTAATCAGTTACAGATATATGTCCAGTTATTGTATTCTGAGAGTTTTATTAAAATCTGTCCAGTGACTCATGAGATATTTTGCTCACAGACTGACAAATTAACTTGCATACACACAAACACAATGGCAATTAAATTATCACCTACCATTATGAAAGGCAATTAGTAGTAACGTTCTAACAGCAGTTATCTCCTTTTTATCTTGAAGAGCCAAAGACGGCAAAGCAGAGATCGACTTTGACACGGATACAACTGATTTTCGTTTGCCTGAGATTCAGACAGAAGAACTGAAGCAGGGTCTAAAGAACAGTGGATCACTGAAACCTGAGCACAATGTCCCAGACATGTATTACAGTCTCAGGGTAAGTCCGTATTTCCTCTCAGCCATCCTGTTGTCATTAATTTCACACTAATCCTGAACGTTTTAATTAAATTCAAATTGTATTAACAATTTGGACCTCCCATTCCACCAATGACTCCACCCACTTTAACATTTTGTCTTCTGTTCCCAACCTTACAAACCACCCTGTTTTTGAGGTCGGTTGTACCTTGGGCAAGTGATAAAATAAGAACAGTTGCAGGGAAAAGTCAGTGACCAGCTTTGTTTCTACAAAAAGTTTTTACAACTAAACCCTAAGAAGGTACAGTTACTGCAAATTCAAAAAGCTTTCAATACAAAAACAACTGGACTTATTTGTAACGGAAGACGTTTCGCTCCTCATCCGAGGAGCTTTCTCAATTCAAAGAGCAGAGAGTGAGAGATTCAGGTTATAAGGCTGAGTGAGATAAGACACACACACACACACATATGTAGATTGGCAATTCACACCTAAACAAACTTAACAGTAAGAGTCTTTTGTTCCTCTAATTCACAGACAAGGCCCCTCTGTTCCCATCAGGTGTGAAAACCGGCTGGGAATGTGTTTTAAAGTTGCATTATATGTTTTTGAAAGTGGAAATCTGAGGCCTCCTCCTCTGCTAAGAGACGGCTTTTCTCTTTTTACATAAATTGCTTCCTTCACCCCCCTCTCAAACCATCTGTGTTCTTGGTCCAAAATGTGCACATTTTGGTCCTCAAAAGAGTGTCCCTTATCTGTGAGATGGAGGTGAACAGCTGAGTCTTGTCCTGTGGAGCTGGCTCTCCTGTGTTGAGTCATGCGTCTGTGAAGAGGCTGTTTAGTTTCTCCAATGTAGAGATCTGGACAGTCCTCGCTGCACTGGACCACTACACCACTCTGTTCGTGTATGGGTGTCTTGTCCTTAGGGTGGACCAGCCTCTGTCTGAGAGTCCTGCTGGTTTTGAAATGTACTGGGATCTTGTGTTTGTTGAAGATCCTTCTGAATTTCTCTGATACTCCAGCAACATAAGGGATGACAATGTTTTTACGTCTGCTGTTCTCCTTTTTCAGTTTATTGGTGTGTTTTGTAGATTTCCTCACTGACTGGACAAAAGCCCAGTTAGGATATCCACATGTTTGAAGAGCTTCTTGAACGTGTTTCAGTTCCTTTTCCTTCCCTTCTGTCTTTGTGGGGACGCATTTGGCCCGATGTTGTAAAGTTCTGATGACAGAGAGTTTGTGTTCCAGTGGATGGTGGGAGTCAAACAGAAGATACTGGTCTGTGTGGGTTGGTTTTCTGTAAACTTCAATGTTGAGGCTGTTCTCTCTCTCCATCTGAACCAAACAGTCCAAAAAAGGCAGCTTGTTGTCGTTTGCATCTTCTCTGGTGAACTTGATGTTGTTATCGACCGAGTTAATGTGTCTGGTGAACGCTTCTATTTCCTTAGCTTGGATTTTGACCCAAGTGTCATCCACATAACGGAACCAATGGCTTGGCGTTGTTCCCTCATAGGAGTTTAGGGCTCTCTGCTCCACTTCCTCCATGTAGAGATTGGCAACAATGGGTGACACAGGAGATCCCATGGCACAGCCGTGCTTCTGTCTGAAAAAACTGTCATTGAACTTGAAATAAGTGGTGGAGAGGCAGAGATCCAACAGGGTGCAGATCTGGTCTGGGGTGAAGTTGGTCCTGTTGATTAAGTCCTTGTCTTGTAGAAGTTGTTTTCTGACGGTTTCTACTGCTTCAGAGATGGGTATGCATGTGAAAAGAGAAGTCACATCATACGATACAAGGGTTTCTCCTGGGGTTAGTTTCAAGTGTTGAACTTTATTAGCAAAATCAATGGAGTTCTTTATGTGATGAGGTGTGTTTCCAACAAGAGGGGCTAAAATACCAGCCAGATGTTTAGCAATATTGTATGTCACTGAGTTCATGCTGCTGACGATGGGTCTGAGTGGTGTTCCTTCTTTATGTATTTTTGGAAGTCCATAAAGACAGGGAGTGGCTTCACCTGGGTACAATCTATAATACAACAATCGATTGATTGTTTTCTCCTTTTCAAGTTTTTGCAGGTAATCTGTGACTTTCTTTTTGTAGGCACTGGTTGGGTCCCTCTTCAGGGTCTCGTAGGTGTTGCTGTCGCTCAGAAGTGTGGTTATTTTTTCTTTCCCCGAGGAGAAAGCTCCTCGGATGAGGAGCGAAACGTCTTCTGTTACAAATAAAGTCCAGTTGTTTTTGTATTGAACGCTTTTTGAATTCATCATGTCCTGGATGACTGAGAATCTTCACCAGCATAGTTACTGCAAATGTTACACAGGCAGGGGAACAAGCATGGCACAAATTCTGATCATAAATATTTTGTGTTTGTACATCAGTTTTGAAATCTTGTAAACTAAATGTGTTATTTGTGCATGTGTAGATAGGAATTTGTGTGTGCAAAAAAGATTTGTATTTATAAAAATTAATTACGCCATATCATACCACTTTATTTATAGAGAACTTACAACGTCAACAAGGCCAAGCAAAGTGCTGTACAGCAGAAACAAACAAGCAAAGCACACGGCAAAACATAAAATAAAGTAAAATAATAATATAGATACGAATGGAAAAAGATAATAATTAAAACAGCTAACATTGTAGAATACAGACGGTTAAAAACAAATCACACCGTATCAAAAGCCAGGGAATAAAAGTGGGTTTTTAAGCAAGATTTAAAAACAATGAGAGAAGGGGCACAAATTTGTAAAAATTATTTGTACCCAAGTTACAAATCATTTTTGTGAAGGTCTGTGTACAGATACAAATTTAAAAAAAAACTGTGTATAAATCTGCCTGTGAATTTCAATTTACAAGAATTATGACAGGATTTTTCTTCCTTTCAGCTGATTGGTCAATGTCATGTCAATCACAAATTTAACTATCCAATCAGAGAACAGATGGGTTTGGCTGTGGGGGTGGACCTTTAATGAGTCATAACTCCTGGGATTACTTTACAGTATGCTGGTGAAGATTCTCAGTCATCCAGGGCATGATGAATTCAAAGAACGTTCAATACAAAAACAACTGGACTTTATTTGTAACAGAAGACGTTTCGCTCCTCATCCGAGGAGCTTTCAATTCAAACAGCAGTGAGTGAGAGATTCAGGTTATAAGGCTGAGTGAGATA